GAAGTAGCGGAAACCAAAAACAAAACGTGGACGTCTCTGCGCACAGACAGAAGAGAAAGTTAATACTGCGAGGTCCCATACGGTGGCGGCCGTGGCGCTGGCGCCCACAGCGGCGGTTACTATCGCCCAGGCCACAAAACAAACCAACAACAACAAAAACGACAGCAATGAGGATTTCCCGCAGTCCCCCCAAAATGGAGAAGAAAAACAAATTACTTCAGCATGTGTTTTTGTCTCACGTGCCCAGTGGCGCACGAAGACTGGGCGGGGGGATATTTGTTCCCCGCGCGGCAACAAAAAAAAAAAAAAGAGGGCGCCAACAAAAAATAAGCTAAATCGCCCAGTTTGTTGGGTCCACGCACCTGCACTCCACACATCCCGTGCGGCATTCGGCCTGCCCCTCAGCCAGGCAGTTGCATCAAATCCGCGAGGCGCACAACAATGTTGCCGCCGCCGTGTGGGCAGCAGCAGCAGGCAAGACGAAACTCGCCACGTATGGCAGTGCGCAGCATGCGGCCGCTTGGGCAGAAGGGAAACAAAAGGAAGGAGTGCCGAGGTGCTGACCATCCCAGCAAAGCACTGGCGGCAAGTAAAAATAAATTTGGGGCATTCGAAAAGTAAAAACAAAAATAAAATAAAATAATGCGCTCTCAAAAACACGCAATGAGTGGCGCCGGGCAACTTTTATTGAGGCTTAGCAAGTCCACTCTCTTTGGTCCAGCAGGGAGGGCCGTCGTCTCCCCATAACCCCAGCAGCGCCAGCAGCGACAGCCCAGGCACATACCCACGCACAGCGCTGTCGCCACTCGTGTTCATCCGCAACCGCCCTGCGACGTTCCTGCAATGAGGGGAGCCGTTGTTTGGGTGTGGCGCCGCACTGCGTGTTGGTGCTCCGGCAAAGCAAAGGACTCCCGCCCCACACGCACGCTCGCCATCGCCCGAAAGAAGAAGCAGCAGAACCCGAAGCGCGGTGCAGGACCCCCCTCCCTGCGGTGGCAGGCCTCATCCTGGACGCCGCCACTCCGGTCGAGGTGAGGGATGTGCCGCACGGTGGTGTTGGACTCAAAGACACAGCTCTCCTCCACCTGCAGCGCGGGGTGGCGGCCGCACGGGCTGCAGTTGCGGCAGTACGCCACCGCCTCGTTCTCGCGGCCAAACCATCACGCCTTGAGCGTTACGGGCACGTTGGCGAGGGCCACCGCCACCAGAACCTCGTGCGTGCGTGTTAGCGGTGATACTTACGGCGTGGCTTCACGGCACAAGAGGGAGGCCAACAAGGAAGAAGAGGAACGGCGAGATGCAATGAGACGGCAGAGGGGTGCCAACAGCAGCTAGACGCAACAACAGAGAGGTATGGACACACACGCACGCAGTCCGCGGAATGGGTGCAGCCAACCAAAACACACAGACACAAAGAAAGATAAAACACAAACCCCGTAAAGTGAGTCCGAAGCGTAGGCGCCGCCGTATTGTGTGATGGATGCGTTGGCAGTGAAGCACCGGGTCCACGATTGGTGCCGCCTGATTCACCATCCGTGTCAACAGTGCCTGCAGGGTTTGGTTCCTCCGCCAGCAGCGGGGCAACGACTGGTGCTGGGCGGGCCCAGGTGTTGAGGAAGGCTGTGCACACGTCGGTGCATTTGGGACACGTGATGCTACCCTCACGCCATCTGCCCCCCGAGGCGCAACCGTCTCACCCCCATTGCAGTCGTGCCACGTGCCGTCGCCAAGGAACTGCACCCTCAGCTTACCCCCACTGCACTGCGTGTTCACGCACACATCACCAATCTCTTCGCTGTCAAAACGAAGTCCTCCGCTCCCCTTTACGCACCGTGAGCTCGGGTTAATGAAGCTTCCAAGGATAGTTTTAGTATCGCCTTTGGTACACCCAGATGCCACACACCCCATAACATACAGACAGTAGTCCATATCCTCCAAAGTACCTCCAACTATGGGGCTGTAAAAGTACTGATACTCCGGTGGAAGGGGCTGCTGGTAAGCCGTTAGCCCACAGTTCCCCAGAGAAAGACGGTCACACGTGCAGAGCAGCGTGTCACCACTGATGAACTGTCTGCAAAACACGTCAGGGTAGGCGGTTCTGCCATTGATGAAGCACTTATTTTCCAGCAGTTTGCAGCCAGAGCTTTTTGCCCCACCGCAACGGGTCCGCCATGATGTAGTTGGCCCTGTACACGCCCATGTCCTCAAATGCATCAAGCGTGAATGCCGACTAATACATGAGCGGGACCCCAGGAACCATCAACGTGCCCCGTGCGTTGCGTTCCTTCCAGTGGCCCAAGTCGAGCCCCCGTCCTCCAGCTCCATGCGCGCGAATGTGGGGGAGTTGTGGTACTGCCTCACCAGCGCCTTCACCCTCGGTCAGGAAATTACCCACGCCTCCTCCTTCCCACGCACATTGGATACCTGGGAGAGCATATTGACCCCCGAAAAGCAATTGAACAAAAACGCAGGAGCGTGCCCAATCTCATGTGCCGCAGTACCAACAACTTCATGAGCGGCCCTTATGTGCCGGGGATCGAAGTTCACGGCACCAGCGTATGGGCGTCCGTCCTTCAGAGTGACGCACAAAGACGTCCATACGGATGGGGCCCTCAGTCGGGAGAGTGTTGACGTAGAGAATCAGGTCGGCGCCGCTTACGCCGGTCGTGCGGTGCCGGGAAGGGATGGTAAGACTGCTGCACGCCCCTATAACATCATACAGCATACGGATGGGGCCCTCCACAGGCACCACGGACAGACGCTCGGCGTGCAGCTTAATCGCTGCCGGGAGGAGTTGCTTCAAAACAATGTCATCCTTCGCCTCCGTCAACGGATCGTCCTTTTCGCATCTCACCCAGCGGCCATTGTCGAACCTGCACGCAACCCCCTCCGCGATGCAGTGCTTCGACGGATCGTCCATGTCCTTCGCAGACACCTTGACACGTATCGGGGCACACTCACTCTCCACGCCTGTGTCGCGCCCTGTCCTCTGCGCGGCACATCACGCACCACCGCAGTCGCCGGCGGGCC